ACAGATGAATGGATAAAGAAGATGTGATATATATATATATATATATATATATATATACACACACACACACACACACTTATAAACACACATATGCACACATACATATAAACACACACAATGGAATGAAAAGAATGAAATTCTGCCATTGGCAACAACATGGATGGACCTAGACAGTATTATGCTTAGTAGGTAAGTCAGGCAAAGAAAGGCAAATACTCTATGTTATCACTTATATGTGGAATCTAAAAATTGAAACAAACGAATGTATATAGTAAAATAGAAACAGACTCACAGATACAGAAAACAAACTAGTGGTTACCAGTGGGGAGAGGGAAGGGGAGAGGGGCAAGATAGGGTAGGGGATTAAGAAATACAAATTACTATGTATAAAATAGATAAGCAGGGCTTCCCTGGTGGCGCAGCGGTTGAGAGTCCCACATGCCGCGGAGCGGCTGGGCCCGTGCGCCATGGCCGCTGAGCCTGCGCGTCCGGAGCCTGTGCTCTGCAACGGGAGAGTCCACAACAGTGAGAGGCCCGCGTACCGCAAAAAAAAACAACACGGACTTACTTTTTTTCTGGGTCCATTAAACATAGTTAAATAAACTTTCAGTTTTATTTACTTATTTTTCTTTCAGTTTTATTGCGATATAATTGACATACAGCACTGTATAAGTTTAAGGTGTACAACATAATGATTGGACTTACATATGTCATGAAATAATTACTGCAATAACTCCAGCGAGCATTCATCATCTCATAGATACAAAATAAAGGAAAAAGGAAGATTCTCTCCTTATGATGAGAACTCTTAGGATTCACCCTCCTAACAGCTTTCACATATAATGTACAGCAGTGTTGATTATATTAACTGTGTTGTGCATTACATCCCTAGTACTTATTTATCTTATAACCGGAAGTTTGTACCTTTTGACTACCTTTATCCAATTCCCCCCTCCCCCAAACCCCCGCCTCTGGTAACCACAAATCTGATCTCCTTTTCTATGAGTTTGTTTTTGAACAGTTGACCTACAACACTATGTGAGTTCCTGCTACACAACATAGTGATTCGATATTTCTACACATTACAAAATGATCACCACTAAGCTTTCAATCTTGGAAGAGTTTGAAACTTACAGAAAAGCAGCAAAGACGGTACAGGGAGCTCTACATATACCCTGCACCCAATTTCTAATTGCCCCTCTTGTCATCTTACATTGCTATGGTACATTTGTCATAACTAATGACCAATATTGATACATCATTATTAACTAAACTCTGTGCCTTATTAAGGTTTTGTTAGATTTTCCCTTAGCTGATGGACTCCCTTTTAAGCTTAAAAAAATTACAGATAGGAAAGTGGAAGACAGTGGAAAACCGTGATCACTTGCCAAACAGGATTCTAGCTGGATGCTGTTGGCTGCTGGCTGACCTAAGCCTGAGGCCTGCTTTTTCTTTGTCAGAAAGAGAGATTAGTAGACGGTAGAGGTGTTAAAGACAGATTAGCACAAAGCTGAGACTCTGTCCCAGGCCAAATGGGATGGGAAGAGAATTGCCACTGGAGTAAAATGACGTTCCCACTCTAGGGGCAGTGCTGTTCAGTGCCCTGTGTGTCACCCAAAGTCATCTTGGGCACCGACCTTGTGTGAGGCCCGCTTTGGGAACGGCATGGTCTCACTCTGCCACACCCTGGGATGGCTGGAAACACCAAGTCTGAGACTGCCTGGCTCCAAAGCTGGGGTTCCTTTCTGCCCTGGAGGACGAGGAGGAGGGGCTGGTGCCCCCACTGGCTCGGGGCTGTGAGAAGCATCATTTGTCTTCTTTGCAGTAACTCCCCAGCTGAATTCCCAAAGCCCGCAGGCACTGGACAAGGGAGGGACAGAGAGCATTCTGGTGAATTCCATCACATCACAGCACGTGCGAAGCACCTTGTGTGGAGTACCAGGCTCGCCTGCCTCTAGTGCCTGTGAGATGTGGTTGTGCACTTGGTCGGTGAGCAGGAGAGAAACGGCTGAACTGAAACCGTGCTTCTCGGCAGCCCTTTTCTTGGCATGAAGTCTGAACTTGTTCAGTCCTTTAAAACGCTTCAAAATGGTTTTCATGTTTTGCAAGTTAAAGTAGGTGACATTGCTTCCTGAAAACCAAGCCATCAACTTTCCAATACTTTGCTTTCAAATATAGATCTGCCGGCCTCCTTTCCAGGAGACCTAAGCCCACTCCGGAGTAACTTTGACAGCTCCCTGGCTCTTAAGGAATTTCACTCAGTGCAATGTCACTTTCAGCTCTGGGTCCCAACACCTGACTAGAGGTGATCAAACTGGAGTGCTTGTAGAACTTCTGGGTTCACTCCTCAGGACTGCTGTTCAGTTCTCAGCTGACAGATTATAGAATTCTTTGAGCTAGTCCAAGGAGGCAAACGGGTGGATGAAATTTTCTCCGGGTATGGGGTGCAACGTCACTGGTGAAGGAAGCTGGTTGGGAATCTAGGTAATAGATGAATCCATTTTCACTTTTCAGAATGCAGCTGCTGCAGGTAAGAGCACCACGCTTAAACTTCTGCCTCCCCCACTTCCCGGAGGTAACGGCTCAGTGTGGTTTATATCCTAACAGACTATTTTCTTGGCTTTATGTGTTTCCATAGCATTTCATTTTATGTGTGTATAAGGGCGGAGGGTTACACAATCAGGATGATATTGAATGTATCGTTCTGACCCTCTTTTCACTCAATAATATGTCTTGGAGACCCATCTCCATTGTTACATACAGATGCAGCTCACCCTCTGAATCCCTGCCTGGGATAGTACGATTCTTTCATATTCTATTTATTATATTCTATTAAACCAGTCATTTTTTTGGATGGATATTTATTTCCAATGTTGCCTGTGATAAACCTTTTTTTTTTTTTTTTTTAAGCAAACCTCTATGTGCATGCCACCTCGTGGACGTGCATTAAGTGATGTTCTGGGTGGCAACTTATGCTCATTTCTGGTTTTTAAAGGTCTTGCCAAATTACCCTTCAGAGTATGTGTGTTTGTGGCTGTGGGAAGGGGTGTCAGTTTCTCTTCTTTGGGGCTCTTTATTCCTGATTTCTTGTCTGCAGTGGCTGCAGGGTGGCACGGAGCCAAGGGGCAGCAGAGAGAAATTTATCCCTAGGTGTTACAGGCTGGGAGGCACCATGGCTGGGGGGTGGGCTCTCCGTGGTGGCGATGAATGGGGCCTTTGTTCCTGGGTCCATCCCTGAGCAGAATCCGAAATCCAAAAGCCGAGATGTGCCGAGGTGACCAAAGGAGCAGTGCCTCGTATCTGGACTCCACCCTTGACTGGGACACACAGTCAAGTTCATAGGAGTTCTACACACCCATGTAATGGGGGTTGGGCGGCGGGGCAAACCCTGAAATAATTAGGTTGTAAAGAAAGAAAAGAGGCAAGGCTGACCACTAGCTGTAAGATGTAAAGGGAAAAGGCCAAGATAATTTACATCCCAGGAGAAGTGGGAAGTGCAGAGGGGGCTTGGGGGGAACCAGGACCAGAGGAAGGGGTGTACGGAGGACCTGGTCTGGGACAGAGGCAGGGAACAGATGGGAAGGAGGGAAGAAAGGAGGGAAAGGAGAAAGAGTGAGGAAAGCGACCCGAAAGTGGCAAGGTAAGAAGAGGGAGAAGAGGGCGGGGGAGCGAGGGGGAGGCTGGGTCCCGTCTGTTTGTGATTAGCACGAAGCCCGGTGCAGAATGAGTAAACAGAAACTTCCAGGCCTCCCCACACCCCCCTCTGAGGCAAAGCAGAAATCAGATGCTCCGTGATTAATCGTGGAGAGTTCAGGACACGACCACAAACGCTGTACGGACTTGAAATTAGCTGCCTTTCCCGGTCCCATTGCCAAGATGCGAGTGGGGGTGGGCCGTGAAGGGGTGGGGCTCCGCCTGCAGGGGGCCAGCATGGAATTCTCCCTGGCAGAGCTCAGAGTGACACTGACGGGCAATCGGCCGCGGCCAGAGCGGCAGGCAGCATCCGGGGGGAACGGGGCCGGCCGGGGGGGCCCCAGGCGGGCTTCCTGGAGCCCCAGCTCCGCGGCCGCCTGCACCCTGACACAGGCCGGATAAGAGCCAGGCTGCTTTATCGGAGCCCGGCTGGCGGCCGCGCGCCGTCCCCACGGCGCCACGAGGAAGATCGCGGGCAGGGGGTCCTCCGAGGCCATCTTCCGAGCGGCCAGTCCCTACAGGCTGGTCTCTCGAGCCCCGCAGCCGATGGGAGCCGACGCTCGCTTCAGCGATAGAGAAAGCCGGGTTCCTTCCAGGAGGACGGCGTGACACGGCCCTGAATGTCGAGACCTGCTCGATGGTGAGTGCGGAGCGACTGCTCCGTGTGCAGCTGGCGTGGACCAGACTTTAGAGGGAGTCGGGGTGTGAGGAGGGCATCCGCACATCCCACCTGGAGCTCCCCAAGCGCTGAGGCTGAGATGAGATGGCAGCATCTTGCTGTGTGGCCTTGGGCAACTTCCTTCCCCTCTCTGGGCCTCCCTTTGTCCATCCCTACAATGACGGGTTGAACTAGGTGATCTTTAAGGGGCCCTTACTATGACTGCTGTTTTTTCCTTGTTTTTAGCAGCGCCGGGCAGCTTGCAGGATCTTAATTCCCCGACCAGGGAATGAATCCCGGCCCTTTCAGTGAAAGTGCAGAGTCCTAACCACTGGACTCCAGGGAATTTCCTACAACTGCTATGTTGTGTGGGTCTGCTGCATGCCAGGCACTGTGCCAGGCTTTGCTGAAGCTTTAGCTCAGAGAATCCCCATGAGCCCCTGGCAGGACAGGGATTATTACTCTTATTCTCGTTGTACATTGAGCAAATGGAGGCACAGAGAAATGAAGTGACTTGCCCAAGGTCACACAGCTGGTCAGTGGCAGAGATGAGAATCAGATCTCAGAAGCTCTCCGCCTCCAGGAGTAGCTGGGCCTTCTGTGTTCTCTGAGTCTGTGACTATCCCAGGAAGCAGAGGTGAAGGAGGAGAGGGTGTCAGGGGAGTGTTACGTGTACGAGGAAGAAGAGCAGTGGGACAGACGAAGCACCAGGCTGATCAGCCTGCAACTATTTAGAGGGTATGTCAGCCCAGGGATGGGCAGGGGCTCCCGGCTTGAATGGAGAGGGCCTGATGCCCCTTGCTGTACGAGGCTCCCGGGGAATGAGAGAAGAGAGTTAATATTAGGCAGGGGTGGGGAGAGCTGGGGGTGGGGAGAGTGGCACATGCCTCCATGAGGTTTTGTTCCAGTTTTATTTTGCCTTTTCAAAAATCTGTTTCGAATCATTCTGGGCCCCCGCTGCTCCTCTGGACGAAACAGAATTGTGAAACACATACAGTGCTTTCCACATGCCTCCCTTGGGGGGAATCACATATTAATATTATCGTAGGCTATTTGCATATACATCCCTGAAGCTGTGCTGACAGCAGCCAAGAGATAAGATGCAGATAAAGTCAGCTAGTGTCTCCCTGGCAGCGACAAGGAGGATGCATGTTACATCAAGGGCGGGGAAATCCACAGCAGGGCTGTGGCAGGTGGGAAATCCCTCGGGTGCCAGCCGTCTGGGTAGAGCTGGAAGTCCCAGCACCCAGATATGGCCTCCTCTTTTCTCTTCCCTTGGAAAATTCCATCCCGCAGCAGCTCTGTACTCGCTCCTTTTCTTTCTGGGACTGGCCCAGACCCTCTGCCTTGGGCTTGAGTTGAGACCCGACTGGTGGTCCTAGCTCAAGAGTGACCAACTTGTCCCAGGAGACCCCCTCAGTCCCGGGACAGCTGGTCACCCTACACAGTTCTGCCCTTGATTTCTGTAATCTTGTGCAAGTCACTCCCCTTCTCTCATCTATAAGACGAGATTATTTTAGGAAATCTCTAAAATCTCTTTACAACTCTAAATTGCTATGACTCTGGCTGGAAGGCACTTATGTTCTAAACGTGGGTGAGACACAAGCTTAAAGAGGAGGAAAATCTCCCCGCGAGTCCCCCAGCGCATCAGGGAAGGCGCCGGAGGAGGCTGGGATTAAGATGCGCTTGCAGAAGTGATTGCTGGCCTGCAGTGCCCCGTGACTGCTGTCAGCGAGAACAGTCCTAGGGCCCCGCAAGCTTCAGAAAAGCCTCATGAAACGCTGAAAGCCCAGCTCAGTCCCGCAGCTTAGGTTTGGCACAGAGTGACTTAACCCAGATGTCTGCCACTTACAGAGCCCTCACCTATGTGTCATTGGAAGCTCAGCACCCCCAGCGTCCCCCAGTTCTTTCTGGGGAGCTCCAAAGGGATGTTTCACATTGGCTTACAAACTGGTCCCTCGCCTCTGCCGCCAAGGCCACTAGGAGAAGCTTCACTGTTGCCAGCACCCATCTGGTGGGGCCAGACTCCAACTGCTTAGTGCCTGAGCTGCTCTGGGTTCTGGGCAGAGGTGGAGGGAAGGGCTTCCTCCCCAGCCCGTGACACTCTCTGCCATGTGGTCCCTGCATGGGTGGTGTGCTGGAGCCAGCTTGGACCGGCTCGCAAAAGCCGACTGTCAGATTTTCAGGAATTTGGTGAACTCGTTGCTAACCAGAGCCATTATTAAAAATTAAGCTACATAAACTTTTAGTTAAATAAATTTAATTAAAAACAAAGGTCGTGGGGCTTCCCTGGTGGCGCAGTGGTTAAGAGTCCGCCTGCCAATGCAGGGGACACGGGTTCGAGCCCTGGTCCGGGAAGATCCCACATGCCACGGAGCAACTAAACCCGTGCGCTATAACTACTGAGCCTGTGCTCTAGAGCCCGCGAGCCACAACTACTGAAGCCCGCATGCCACAACTACTGAAGCCCACACACCTAGAGCCTGTGCTCTGCAACAAGAAAAGCCACCACAGTGAGAAGCCCATGCACCGCAACGAAGAGCAGCCCCCACTCACCGCAACTAGAGAAAGCCCGCGCGCAGCAACGAAGACTCAACGTAGCCAAAAAATAAATAAATGAAATAAATAAATTAAAAAAAACAAAAAACGAAGGTCGTAAGTGCTCAAAACTCATCACTTTCCAGTTTTTAAAACTATATGTTACTGTTACTGGTTCTCCTGGGGATATTCACGTCCGGTGTGTCTGTCTGGTGGGAACACCCCCTAACGTTAGTGCACTATTGCAGGTCTCTTCCCAATTCCATTTTTTGCGACTTAAGTTGGTAGCCTGAAGTCGGCCATGGTGGGAGTAATTACACTACGGGAATTGGCAAACAGTACAGCTCAGGGCTTGATTTATTGTTTTGTTGACTGTCTAGGTCAACAGACAAAGTGATCTAGACAAAGAAAGGGAGGGAGAAAAGGATGATGCAGGTTAAACATAAAAGTGCGTCATGTCTCTAACTGTTACAGTGGGAATAACACCAAGAAGCAGGGAAGTTGCACACTTTGCTGACAAACCAGGGAAGTTCCGACCTGCACTTTGGTGTATCATTTTTGTCTCAGTCCTTAAGGTAAAGGCAGATATCAGCCAACGTTCTGGAAAGAACTACAGTCGCTCATCAATTATAACCATAGGGTGACAACAGATACAAGAGTTGGGGGCAAAAATCAACGAAAATGTCCTGTGTGAATCAACCAGTATATGAAATTTACAAAAGGGGGGGCTATTGTACATTTTATGTTTATGTAAGTTGTGGGCTATACATCCTTTACATCAATACAATCTATAGTAAACCTGAGTATATATGTGTTTATGTGTGCAAGCATGAGTAAGTGCCTATATTTGTACACATGTGTGCACGTGCATACCCACACATACACTTTCCCCTGGAAAGCTGGTTGTTAAACCTTTACCAACACACCACTGGCCCCATAGCATATATGCTTGTGCCCAGGGTCTTAGAAATCTTGTCATGGACTGTCCTCAGCTCTCACCCAAAGGGATTCAAACTCCAGGCACTGGGCCTTGGACACAATCCGTCAACTTCCTCCTCTGGCCTCAAACAAACCCAACAGCCAAACTCCTCTCTCCTGCTCTAAGCGCTGGAATGGATGCAGAGATTGGGAGGGTCAGAAGGTGTTATTTGCACCGGCTGCATCCAGGGTCCCAGCTCAGGCAGCACAAAGGCCCTGGGTCCCTGCATTCTCAGTGCCCCCCATTCGTGCCCCCCCCCCGCCCCTCCACATTCACAGGGCGTTTCCGGGTCCCATCAGGGGCAGCTCCCTGTAAATTCCATCCCTTTTCAGGTCTCGCTCTTTCCATCCTTGATTTTCATGCACAGCACGTGATTCTCTAATCAAAATGGCGTCTTGGAACATGGAGGAGGAACAGCTAAGCCAAACCTATTGGAAAGTTCAGACAACTTTCTATTTTTAGAAAGCCTAGGAGCCAGGTGGGCCCTTTCCAGTCTCCCAGGCCCGCAAGCAAGAGAGGAAAATATTTCTCATTCCCCTGTTCTGCCTTCTTACAGGCCTAGCCAAGGAGGAGGCCCAGGTGGGGACACTGGCCGCCTATGAGAAGCGAGGCTGGGATGGCAGGAAGCGAGCCCTGCCCGCAGCAATCTTAAAAGGAGCTAAAACCAGGGTTTTTGGATTCTTTTATTTTGCATGTAGGAAGGGCAATCCTGACTTTAAATCTCAGTGGGTCCCGCTCCAGGTAACCACCGTCTTTTCTTCCAGACCATTCATTCACTCGTATATGTAATTTTAATGTTCACAAATGAGGTCATTCTTACATTTTATTCTGCATCTTCCTTGTCTCACTTGACAATACACCCCGGTGTCTTCCCCTGTTAGCACATGAAGACCTAAACCACTCCTTTCAATGCCTGCATAACAGAAGCCCCAGGAGGTTGTGAGAAGGGAGCCATTTTGACAACCACATCTCTATTTTCAAACCAGGTCTCAAACTTTCGTGACTGCAAAACACATGAGTAGAGCCCAGCTGCTTCCACTTTTCAGTAAAAAAGACATTCTATTGGCTCTACCCTCAACCTGTCTCTGGAAGCTGCTGGCTTCCCATCACCTCCACTGCCGCCACCCTCGTCCCCGTGGCCATCATCCCTCTCTGGACTGTTGTGGTTGCCTCCTCACGGACATCTCTGCTTCTCCTCTTGCCTCTCTGATGGGCTGTTCTACACCTGCAGCCAGCAGGTCTTATTAAAAGGAAGTCAGATCCTGCCCCTCCTCTGCTCAGGACACCCTCCTCCCACAGGCCTGGCTCCCTGCTCCTAACCACGGCCACCAGGCCCCGCAAAATCTGGACCTCATCTCCAGATTCTGCCCTGCCCTGCCCCTCGCCACACTCACTGTTCTCAAGTGAGCCAGGCTCAGTACTGCCTCAGGACCTTTGCACTTGCCTTCCCCTCTGCCTGGGACAC